GGCTTGGAGCACCCTGGGATAGTGGAAGGTGTCCCTGCCCATGGCAGGGGCTGCAAGGAAACTATTTTATTTTTATTTTTAAGCCAAACCATCCTGAGATTCTATGAAGCACCCTGTTTATTGTGAGCCCTTTTTCTGCTCCATATCATGTACCAGTGGCAGTGCCCCTGTTTTCAGCCAGCCCTGGTCAGACTCCACCCAGGTGATGCTCTGGCAGTATCAGCAATGCCAGGAGAAAGGCAGGACAGAGCTCACCAAAGGTGTGTGGTACCCACTCAGAGCCACCACCTCAAACCTCTGTCACAGGGCACTTCAAAGATGGACAAACCCTTGAACGTGGATGAAATAGCAGCTGAGATTGCCTGCACTTGCCTTCATAGGCTGGAACTTTAATTGGAGCATACTAGAGTGCATTAATAACAATTTTAGAAGAAAACAAAGTGAATTCATTTACTTTTACAAAGCCTTTGCCCTCATCTTCGCTGACTACAAGTGTCAAAGAAAGGTCAAAATAGCTTAATTTTCTTCTGCCCTGGACAAAAAGGCATGAAGAACAGACAGTAAATTTAGCTTTCTTCATTTGCACTGGGGCTTAAGGGAGGAGAGAAGGAATTTATTATCATCAAATTGACCCCAGCATAAACTGGTTGCTTTTACCGTAGTTGTGTAAATCAAAAAAGAGAAAACCAGAGAGTAAAGTAGAGATTTTAAAAGATGCATCACCTCAAAGACAGTGGTTAGATTTCAATGCAGAAAAAATTGTGGTAACAGACATCAGAACACAAAAAACTAATCAGCTTTCCAAACACAGCTACTGCAAAATAGCAGGCAATACAATGGTCAGGCACCAGAGAATGGAGACCAAATCAAGTGGTAAATGAATTAAATAAAAGTGGATTGTGGTCCTTATCAGTAATGCTGAATTCTCCTTTACCTGGAAGCACTGAACAAATATTATTTTAATAGAAAGGTAATACTGCTTCAAGATGGCAAGTACAATGTGTTTGAGAAACAATATAATCTTATTTGATAAGGGGACCTGCAGACAAGCAATGCTACCTGGCAAATTTACAGTTTCTTCATTGCTGCACCTGTATCTACTAATCAATATCCAAAAGTTACACATGACCAGAACATAATCAAATTTTTTTAAATGCATCCACACAATATTTAAATGTAGGAAAAATGTATCTTGAAAATAGAATTGTTTTCTCAGGCAGCTGGAAAAACCACCATGGGAATCTGAAACAATGTCTCCTTTTCCCTCCAATGTGATTACAGTTTTTTACAGTTTATTCCTTTCACTAAATGTCAGCCTAAAGTGCTCTGCTAAGCAAAATTTATTTTCTTAACAGCAGATCTTAATAAAATAAAGATGTGCAGTGGTTTTAGTCTTGACACTTTCTAACTAAACTGGGCTACAGACGACTCCTGGCACAGAAAGGGCCCAGACCAGGAATTTTTCGAGTTTTGTTCATGGCAAGGTAATTCCAGTGTAGTGGCTGAACAGCTCACCCCAGGCTGATGGCGATTGTACACTGTGCCATTAAGGGGATCCATCAGGCCACAGTGGTGATATTTCACATCCAGTTAAAGCAAAACAAATGGTTCCCAACACAGCAGCTGAAACATCCCAGAAATGCCACATACATCCAGCAGCCAAGCTGTCAAACCCACTGCTGTAACACTGCCTGGAAATTCAATGTGGGGATGAATCTTATGGATGTTCCTACAGGAAACTTGGGTGTGTCTCAGGCTGCTCACTTTGCTTGTGCCACAGCTCACAGCACCTACTGGGCTTGCAGTTTATGGCATGGAACCCTCGGGATCCCCAGGAAAGAGAGAGACCCACACATGAGCTGGACTTCTTTAAGTGTCTTTGGAGGTGGCTGGGAGGGTTTCCCTTGGCAGAAGGGAATAAGCAAAGCCCTGAAGGAAATATCAGTAAAATAAAGATGTAAATAGAAGTTGATGAAGCTCTGCCTCACAGCTCTCACCTCCAATGGCCTGGTCAGCTCCCCCAGAACAATCTCAGCCATGCAGCACTGGAAATATTCCCTCTCCCAGAGAAAATAAGGATGGTAACTGATTCTGGCTGGGCAACATCATCCAGTTTTTGCCCAAGGTTCAAGATGCATGTTAAATTGAGGGCATATTTCTGTCCTAATGAGACAAGAATTTCATCCACAAACAGTAAGGCATTTTCAAATCCTATAAGGCCATTAGTGATGACATACTGGGGCAGACAGGCAAGGAGAGAACCTACCAGGGACCTCTACACCTATTCAAGGTTTTACAGTTAGGATAGAAGCCTGATAAAGTCAAATCTCCACATGAAAAACAGACACAAATCCACTCCAGACAAATGACACAAATGACTCCAGACAAAACCCAGTGGTTATCCAATATCAGAACATGTGCACACTGCAAGTCACTCTTACAGAGCATGGGTGAGCCAGTGGGTAACATACCCCAGTCCCTTGCTAGTAGAGCTTCCCAGTGAGCACAGACACTGGAAGCACTCTGTCCCTGTCCCCATGGAAGCTGCAAATCTCCTCCAGGATGTTGCCCAGAGAGGTTGTGGCTTCCACACCCCTGGAATTGTTGAAGGTCAGGCTGGATGGGGCCCTGAGCAACCTGATCTAGCGAGAGGCAGGGGGGTGGAAATGGATGAGCTTTAAGGTCCCTTCCAACACAACCCATTTCATGGTTCTAGGATTCTACAACCATTCCCGAGCCACCTGTGGCTGCAGCAGCTGCTGGAGAAGCACAGCTCATAGAGCTCCAGCCCTCCCTGCAGAGCCCAGCAGGAACAATCTCCTGAAGGCTCCAGTGACAGCTCTGAACACTGTGTGCTCCAGTGCTCCCATGGGATGCACCTCCTTCCCATGGCCTGCCCTGCAGGAGGGATGCAGCCAGAGCAGGCACCACATCCCAGCCCACAGGCCACCTGGCAAGGTGCCTCTGATCAAGAGCCAAGAACCAGAACTGTTTTACTGGAAATATCTCCAAGTATTTCCCAGCTACTGTTGAAAATCCCTCCTCAAACAAGGCTGGGACAGCTCCTGGCTCCAGTGCAGGTGCCTCTCCCCAGCTGCACACCGTGAGAAGTCCCTGTGCTGACAAAAGCTGCTGGGGTTGTGATAGCAGCTAAGAAAACAGCGAGTAAACAACACACAAGAAATAAGAACAAGTACTTGGAGCAGGAATACCAATACAGCCTGATATTTACTTAATGACTCATCCAGAGGAGGATCTGTCACTTTAGGCTTATGGCCAGCATGAGAACAGGTAATAAGAGAGCCTATGAAATCACTAGAGCTCAGCTCCTCCTGACCTCTGAAAACAAAGAAGCCTTAGAACAGCAAAAAATATCCTCTTTTCACTCTCTCTCTTCACTCTGTTGCACAATCTTTCTCCACAGAGTAAAGTCACACTTTTTACAGACTGGGAGAGGAGAAAGCAAAAGGCAGAGAAAGTATTTCTGCTCATCCACACAACAGCAAAATACAGACTACACCAGAAAAGGTATTTCCCAGTGAGATTCCCTAGCTTTATGGGGTTTTTGGCAAAAGACAAATAACATCTGAAGAGGACACTTGGAAAACAGAGGCACTTAGGAAAGACAAGAGAGCTTTCAGAACTCAGTCACACCTTTTGCTTTGGGGATTTCAGGTTTCCGTCCTTTTATGCAGAACTGTGCAGATCATACCAGACACCAAAGAGCACCAATGAATGTGAACAGTATTTTTCTCTCCAGCTACAAGACTTCTCTTCCTCAACAAGTAAAATCTGACACTGCATCCTGTTGTACCTGTCAAGTCCTACATTCCTGAGAGGCTCTCTGTGCTACCAAACATACAAATGTTCAAGGAACTCACATGGCTAATGAGCTTCAAGACTATAAAAGCACATGAAGAGTTCATTCTAGGCTGAGCTTCGACTGGGATTTTTTCCTCATGTGGAAAAGCATTTATGTACAAAAGGCCTGTGACACCAGTGCTGAACATTTTCAAGCAATTTCTATGCAGGCAAAATGACAACTGACAACCACTTATTTTTCACCATTTACACTCCACAATTGTCTTTGAGTTCAGAGCTACTAGCTGGCTCATGTGAAAAAACGGAAAAAAATAATTATTAACAAAGTAGCCATCAGAACAGCAAATTTATTAGCCTGATTTAAAAAAAATAAGAATGCTGCTAAGTGGGCAAAATTAGGCCTACATAGCTCATGGCTTCCTTTTATATGTAATTTATTAAAGTGAGACTAAAATCTAAACCAAGATATTTTAAACCTTAACTGTCTCAGAAATGCTGTTTTTATTTCAATGTTGAGTGCAGGACTTATGTAATATTTCCCATTTTGATTTCTTTTATTAAAGGATTTTAAAACAAAACTGTACAGTCACTGCCTACAGCCCTGAGGGGCTGAGTACAAAAATAACATAAAAGATATCACAAACTCTACAAAATACAACTCTGATTTAATTTCATTCAAGCATTATGTTCTTTACTTTGGGGAAATTGCTTTATCATCTTTGATAGCAAGTACTCTTCTTTAGCTCTTCTGAACACTGAAAATATCATTTGAGGTACGACTGGAACAAAACTTGAAAATGCCTAATGTAATTTAATAAACTTGCCAAACCAAACCAAAGTTTGTCTTACAAGCTTAACTTTCTCATGCTCCAAATAAAACAGCTACATTTTCTTCACTTGCCAGAAAATATCCATATTCCCAATGGCTCACCTCTTTCACTGAGCACTCCAGCTTTTTCAAAGGCTTCTACATCAATGATAATTCATGAGTGGAAAATATTCCCTGCTTCCTCCCTATTTCTCCTGGTAATAAAATACACATTTTCACAAGCAAGTTTCCATGGGTTGTGCCAGCCCAGAGAGGCAGTGTCAGACCAAGCTGGAACGAGGGTGGATCTGCCTTTGTTCAATGCCCAAGACATTGGGCAGCTCATCTGTCACATACAAAACCTACTCACCTTCAGGACATGTTATTTTCCAGTAGTCTAGTGTGAAAAGGCTCATTTCGGAAGATGTAATGGTCCATCAGTTTTTGTCCTTAACTCTCTTTGCTGTTCCTCCCAAACTGGTGTTCTGGAGATATAAAAAGAACTTCCATTTAAAATATGGCTCAGATAAACACTAAATTTTTCCTGCTTTTTGCCAGGCCCACTGAAAGGTGACCTGAAACCCATCTGATGGTCCAGTCACTGAATTACTGCTGTCTTATCTCAAAGGAGGCTGTAAGGAATTATTTCCTCATCCTTACTACCCTCACAGCTTATACATCTCCCATCCACAGAAGCATACTGTGGCAAGGGACTTATTTAAAGTCATAATGGTGCCAGAACTGAGAATTACACTGTGTTATCAAAAGTCCCTTTTCACCTTGCCTGCTACATTTGACATACTGACATATATTTACTACACTCAGGTTTATCTCAAAAGCATAAACACTGAACTGTTCTGCTGAATTTGGCTACGGTTCCCTTGATGACAGATTACCTTCCTTCTCCTCACCAGAGACACTTGGGTTCAACTGTGCAGCACAACCAGGGAACTTCTTACCCTGCTTGGGACTATGAGGAGTGGGACATATGTTTGCAAAATTAGGCTGAAAAGGCAAAGCAAAAGCACTGGGAGCGTAAATGAGCAAATGCCACATTAGAAGTAATTTCCCTGGCAGTCCCATTTCGCTGCCAGAATAATTAGATCACTAGCAAGAAACATCCCAAGCAGATAAATGGTGTGTTACAAGATTAACCAAGGTCACTTTTCTTATATCTAGCTTTCTAAAAAGATGCCTCCCCAAAAAACTTAACCCTAGGGCTCCATCCAAATTAAAAAATCACTGTTGATGTACATCAATACAAACCAAATCAAAGTATTCCAGAGCCTGCCAAGTGCTGACTGCCCAAGGAAAGGCCACATGCCTTCTAAGTGAGAGAAATCTCCATTTGAGAGCCACCTAAACTCTGAGACTGCTGCTGCTGCTGGGTGTTCAGAGATAACTGCCAACTCATTAAAATCCCACATTAGAAGTTTATTAAATATGCAAACATTAATGGAATTGGACTAGCAGCTACTTAGGCAGATGAAATTTCAAGGTGGCGCACCCCGCAGTTCCCGTTATCTATGTTGTGTCCTTTTGGAAGCATCTGTGAAAGAGTCACAAAGTTGCTCAAGGCATTCAGTGAAACCCTTTAACTCTTTCAGATTACTCAGGTCACACTCTGAACGTTCCCACTAGCCTAGGAAAGACTCCTGCTTCCCAATAATTACAGCTCAGTATCTGCTGTCCATTTCCACTTTCACTCTTCACTGCTGGAGATGCAAAGTATCCCCAAGGGTTTTTCCCCTTTTGGGAATATCTGCAGGACAAGTCCTATTTGCAAGCTCACAGGTATAGAGGTTTTACACATAGCCCAAATTTACAATCCTGTCAACTTGCTGCTGGAAGAACTACAAAAGGAAGAGCAGAGTGTCATAGAGACAACAGGGATTAAAGAAAAGTGCTTATAAAGCAACTCCCCTGAGCTTCAGGTAACTCCACACATGCATGTGTGTGTAGAGCTTTGCTTGGAGCTCCTTCTTTCAGCTCTCTCAAGCACAAGCCTCAGTTCCCCCTGTAAACATCACTCTCAGCACATTTTGCCGCACAAAATGCAGTTTCATTCCTGGGTTACTCTGCAAAGTCCCAGTGTCTCAACAAACCTCCAAGTTTTTGCTGTAGAGTGACATCAGACTTGGAATCGTTCTTCACTAATGCCATCAGCATAATCTGAGCTAGCCTGAGAGAAAGGAGGACAAGGAATACCTCTCATCACCCAGAGAATAAACAAGCTCCTAAGAGTCCCTAATGCACCAGGTGACTCTGGTAATAGCCTTGCTCTCTCAGTGGCTTCAAAGAACATCTGGAAGATTTAATCCTCTAATTATGGAAAAACAAGTGTGGTCTAGCACCACCTTCTTGGAGATGTAAGGTTTCAGCAAAAAGATGGAAATGAAACCTGAGGGAACAACCTTGGGAAAAGCGTGATTTACAGGAGAAGAAGGGAGATGAAGGAGTATGAAGTGACCTCCAAAGAAAGCACTGAGCACAAAGAGCCTGAGCAGGTTCTTTACTGCAACCTGTGCTGGTTCCAGTGACAGTCTGGAGAAGCGAGGGCTGTTGTAATTGTCAACAACTTCCCAGAACCAGCCCATGGGATGCAACAATGAAATCTATGTTTCTTTCAGTCCTGCAACAATATGGACCTCTCAAAATAGAAGGTTCAAGGATGTCTTGGCCAAGAGGGAATCAGCAAAATCCCCCATCTATCACCTGATGCAACACCAGGCATCACATGTTGCAGAACCTTGAGCAGCCGCCAGTCTGAGGTCAGGCACACAATAGCCTCCCACTCCATGAACCAGGAAGCTAGGGCTTAGGTTTAGCTTTTTTAAAGGAGAACTGAATTATTTTGGAAATCAAGGCAAAGAGAGACTTCAAGGTAATCTGGGTTCTGAAAAGGGTCCTGCCTAAATCTCACATGGATTCTGGGGACTGATCTTTGCTGCTTCAGCGTGTTCAGAAACACAGAAAAGCAGCCAGCTCATGGCTGGCCCCAAGGTCAGCTATTCCCTGACAAAGCAAGGGAAAACCCATACAAATCCTTTTACCTCTTAAGGGACATCATGATGACTTTCTGTTGCAGGCAGTACATTCTGGCCCTAGCCACAGCAAAAAATGACTGTGCAAAAATTCCCTAAGGCTCTGAGTACTAGGAGGCTTCTATACAGGTATGTGCTCAACTGCCCATTTGGTCAGTCCACAGAGCTCCTCAACTCGACTGCACTACACAGAGCACATCAGCAGTTTGGATTATCTCTGCCCAGAGGACTCCTGCCTGCAGGAACATGCAATGGATGACAGAACACAAAAATAATACTTGTAGCTTACAGCCAGCACCCTTGTTCTGCCCACCAGAGGTTCCTAGAGGAGCCTCTACCCAGGAGAACGCACTAAATCAGTTATCCAGCACCAGCATTTCCTCCCAGTACTGACAGACAAGCACACTGAACTTCAGGACACTGTACCTTGGGGAATGTAAATAACCCATTAAAGGAGAGCTCTGTTTGTAAGGGAACCAGGGAGGTCACAGTGCACTGTGTCAGGTATATGACACACTGACCTGTGCACAGGGACACAGGAGTCCTCCCAGCAACCCTACAGCTAAAGCACCTGCTAAACATTTTTATTCCCAAAGCGGTGTCCCAAGCACCATGGTGAACTTTAATGTCCAGGTTGTAAGAAAAACAGGTAGAAAACAAATGATTCTATGAAAACTCAGCCATCCATCTGCCACCTGCACCACCAGCATGAGAGTCCAGCACTCTGTTTCCTCCACCAACATGGAGGTGTCAGGCTGACCTGAAGCCAGCAGCAGCACTGGATACACAGCACCAGTGGGAAACTCCTCTTTGAGGGATACCTGAGCAGCCCAGACACAGGGAAGGATAACATTGCAAGGAAATTCCATCCCCCTTAGCACTGAGCCATCCTGCCACAGACCAAAGGTCACAACTGTAGTGGCACCAGCTATCAGAGTGAAAATGCAACCTCACACACAGGCTGGCACACTGATCCAGAGATATGGATGCTGGGGACAATGCTCTTCATCCATGAGTTGTAGGGTAAATCTGTTGAGCTAAGAGAGGAACAACCAAAACTCACAAGTCTCTGAAATGTGGACAAGGTGCTTCCTGTGGACAAGGTGTTTCCTGGCAACAGTAACAAACCAGTGGAGTAAAATGAATGTTTTCTCAGCACTTTGCTGTCGGGTGACCTTGCTAACACCATTCTGCAGGAGACAGGATCCTCTGTGACAGAACCACCACCAGCAGCTGACCCAACACAGTGACCAAGGCTGACACTGCTGCACTCCCCTCTGCTCGGCTCCAAGGTTGGATTCCTGACTACCTTCTCCCCGAGGGAACTCCAAAAATAGCCTTTGCTCACTCAAGGGAGTCTAGGCCTGAATAAACCACAGGCAGAGCCCTTTCTTCACAGCCCACACCACAGCAGCTGGAGGTGGATGCAGGAGAAATGTAGGCCACACATGCACAGAAAAAGAGACATCCAGAGCTCAGACATGCCAGAGATCCCATTGGCAGAGCCAGGAAGTGAATACCCATTAAAACAGCCTGCAAGTGCTGGGGTACAGCTCAACACAAGCCAGGCAGGCTAAGGGCAAAACACACCTCATCAGAAAGTTAAAAACTTGTGGGTATTTCCCCCACTAAACTGCCCGATGAATCATTAAAGAATATCTTTGTGATGTAACTATTCAGACTTACACAAAGAAGCCTTGTAATTAGCTCTCAAAGTAATCCCCTGGCCACCATCTGGAGCTCAGCCTAAACCTTGACCTCAGCCACTCCAGACAGCCACACATCCGTGACACACACCTGACAGTGAGTCACACTGCTACACTGCATCCACAAAGTGCAGAAAGTTGACAGGAATGCTAAAAACTCGAGCCACTTTTTACTCTACAGGTTCTTCAGTTCACACCCATCACGTTTAAGGAAATGGTTTCAGAAATATACAGTTAAAAAGCAGGAGTCATCAACCCAATCCTGCATCTAAAACAAAATATTTCTTCCATCAAAACCTCAGTTTATAAGTAAACCAAGTTGACACATGACATACTCAACCTTCTTCCAATAACACAGGAGAAAAATCTTCCTAGAATCAGATTCTGACAGAAAACAGACTTAGCACAGATATAAAATAACTTATTCCCTGAGGTATAAACTACTCAATATATTTTACTATTAAAGGACAGCAAAATTATTTTACCTAAAGCACCGTAGATGACTAGATGTTCTTTTTTTGCTAAAACCTTCTGATTAGTTTGAAATTCCTGTTCCCCACAAGCAAATAAAGTCTAAGATGCCTCCCACCTCTTATAAAGCCTCTTAGCTAGAGAAAAATTAGTTTTCTTTAATATACATCTCTATGCTGCTTGCTGAGCTCCCCACAGCAAAGCAGTCAACAACAATAAATGCCACCAAGAACAGAATTTATCTCATCAGTCCCAGAAGAATTCTATTTCCAATGAAGTTTAGCAAGCAGATTTTAGACTTTTGGAAAAAAAGCCCACAACACAAGGAAAGATGGATGGAGCAGGCTGAAAGTGCTGAAACAGTTATTGCTTAGTTCATATCTGAGAGCAAATCTCTGCAAGAATGAGAAATGTTTATTTTTTCTAGGGATCACGTGACTGTAAAGCACAAAGAGCCTTCTGTAGTAGGAGCCATGGTCCCAGAGCAGAGACCTCCTACCAGCTGGGCTCCTGGCACACACAATTCCCTCCAGCTCGAGGGACAGTTAAATACAAATAAGAGCAAGATTAGAGCAGACCACCAGACGTGGCACCACCAGGGAGATCCCGAATTCCACTCCTTTTCCTACAGAGAGACAGACTGGGGCTGTCACCACCGCCTGGTACAGACTTGGTTGTCTCCTCACATCATGCAGACTCCCAGCCCTGCACATGGGGACACTAAGGGGTTTCTGAGCCTCCTCTGGACCATTCCCCACAGCCAGATTGGCTTCAGTTTAGCAGGGGGTGGTTTAAAGTGAATATCTTTGCCACACCACCTTTCTCCTGGCTGCAGCTTCTGCAGGGATTACCCAAGACCAAAGTCCCTACACAAGTCAATATTTAACTTGAGCTCTGCACTGCTGAGACCCACCTGGAATATTGGAGATAGTCGCTTATTAAAGCTTATACTGCCATTTCTAACAAAAAATAATAACAGGCAAGTTATCTTCTTCATGAGAACTTGTGAAGAAAAATTCTACAGGGACAGCAGTTAGAGCCAGCATAAGTAATTTTAATAAGGGAACTAAAGGAAAATGCTTCTAGGAAAGGAGATCTAAACAATGGGCTGTGTACACTGCAGAGCAGGTTGAGGGCTGGGGCAGGAGCCATATGGCAAAAAGCATGTAAAACCAAACCACATCAAGGTCTGGAAATTCAGCATTTGTTCCAGAAGTAGTATTTTAACATTGCAATTAAGCCATTAATCTATGTCGCAAAGGCTTATATAAAAGTCTTGCACATTACAAGGAGAAGCACTTATTCTGCACTAATTACCACTAAGTATAAACTGCTGTACTAACAAAGACTTTAAAATAACACAATAAGCAAAAGTGGTTTTTTCCAGGTTAATTGTTGCTAGTCTTAGTGAGAGTAAGAAAACTGTTTATATTTCCAAAAAAATTTCTCTGCATGCACCTGATATACATTCTTGCCAATAGTCTCACCTTTTATCTTTTTGGATGGAGAGCTTTCTGCTGTGAGAAACAGCTGTTAAAATATAATTCAGGCCAAAAGAGAGCAACTGAGAGTAATTCCTTCTTTCCTACATCTGTTCCTATTTTTTATCCACCTGTTCTCTGTGATTTCTTTATTTGTTGTTAGCACTCCCATCTTTACATTTAGCAAAAATTGGTTTTATTCTCTAAACAAGAACATCTGTTGTAGCAATTATTGCCATGGAATTATAGGTGAAAATCACCACAGACAGCATTATAAAAATGCCCCAGTTCTGTATTTCTAACCCTTCACAGATACCAGTTTGGTCAGCACCCAAAAGGAAACTTTTTCAGGAAAAAAAAACATTTCTGCTGGGAAAGAGTGGAAAGAAGAGGCTGAGGATATTAAGAACATCTGGAAGGAGTAGTGTGCAGCTTTCATCCCCAAAAAAAATCCAAAACAAAACAACAAACACCACCAAAAAGCCAAACCACATACACCAGGACTGTCCAGCAAAGTGTAGCCTCAGGGAACTTCCAGGAGCAGCTTAAGTGACTTTGATCCCTGTCACTGCCTAGTGGGCGGGCTGCCTCTCCCTCTTGGATACACAGGTACAGACACACAGCTCCATGGACACAATTTCCATATGGTGCTAATTGCAGGTAGATTTGGCACATAAATCCAGCCCACCACACCACCACTTAGACC